TGTCTCAGGTGTAGCTGGGTGTGTATTCTATCACCATCTGTTAAAGGTGGGGCAGTTATCTTCTGTCCATTTTTCTTTATCTCTTCCACAGCCAATCCTCCCTCCAGGAGATCTCTTCTGTTCATGGCTCAGTAATTATTAATTATCTTCTGTTAATGGCCAGTGAGGGTCCCTGCATGGCTGATCAAATTCCATCATCCCATGGGGAGATGCTTCGCCCAGGGCAGGAGCCAAGCATTCCTGCCTGGATACAATCTGAGCCTGGAACAGCACAGCAGCCTTTGCCCACTGCATTCCCAGAGGAGCAGCTTTCTCCTGCCCTGCATTCCCAGAGGGAGAGCAGGCCCATCTCCAGCAGCCCTGGAGCTCCAGAGGAAAACTGCAGCCTTGTGCAGGATCCCTGCTCCAGCAGAAGCACAGCTGGCACTGCAGGAGGGCTGAGCCCCCATGGGATGGGACTGTGCCACCACCCTGACACACAGGGCTCAGCTCCTGCTCTCACTCTGGCAGTGTTTTGTTTTTGTTTGTACTATTGCATTTGTAGTTTTATTTTTCCTAAAAAAGAACTGTTATTCCTGTTCCCATATCTTTGCATGAGAGCCCCTTAGTTTCAAAATCATAATAATTCAGAGGAGGGGGTTTACATTTCTATTTCACAGGAGGCTCCTGCCTTACTTAGCAGACACCTGTCCTTTCAAACTCAGACAGCTGGAAGGGACCTTAAAGCCCATGGGACATTCTGCTAGACCAGGCTGCTCCAAGCCCTGTTCAGTCTGGCCTGGAACACTTCCAGGGATGGGGCAGCCACAGCTTCTCCGGGAAACCTGTGCCAAGGCCTCCCCACCCTCTCAGGGAGGAATTTATTCCCAATATTTAACCTAAACCTCCTCACTGTCAGCTCGAGGCACCTGCTGGAATCATGGTGAGCAAAGGCTGCCCTGCACAGGGGAGGCTGAGGCTGAGTTTTGGGAGGATGCTCCAAGACCTGAGTACTGTGTGGGGTTTGCTGGCCCAGCTCCTTAATGAGGTGCTCCAAAGGAAGTGGGGGACAGCCTGGGGTTGAGGAGGGGCCCCCGAGGAGGGCAGGGGACAGAACTGAGTGAGGTGTTCGGGAAAAACACATCCTGTGCTTGTGGGGGGCTGGTTTGGCTCAAACCCACCTGGCCGATTCCCCAGTGGCCCCCAGATGTCAGAAAAATCACGTTTAGATTATTTGAGAAAGAAAAACTTCCTGACACAGCGCAGGGAGGGCTGGCAGTGATGTCAGGGCCCCGATGGAGAAGCCATCTGCCCAGGACCATGGGACAGGCAGCTCCTGGGAATCTCATTAGCACGGTGACATCGGGTACACACCTGCCCCACTCGGGCTGTGCAGGGCACAGGGGCTGGGTGGGCTCGGCCTTCCCCTTCAGCACACTCTGAAAAGGAGGAACACAGAGCCAGGGGCTGCCACAGAGCCAGCGGGACTGAGTGGGAGAGGAGATGGAGGTCACTTCTTCAGCCTGGTCCCATTCCCTGCCTGGTCTCTCCTGCTCTGGCAGTGCCAGAGAACCCAGGGACCACCTGGAGCAGCTGGGGCTTGATCTTCCTTGGGAAAATCCAGGCATTTTCTCAAGGACTGTAACAAAAACCAGCACTGGTGCCACGATGGTCCCTCTGCTTCCTCCTCTCTGTGCTGGCCACTGCCACATCCCACTCAAATGCCCCAGGGATTCCAACCCACCTTTATTTCTCCTCTCTCCATGTCACCGGAGGCATCCCGAGTCGCTGAGGATGTGGCAGCTCTCGGTGACCCCGCAGTGCCACGTTCCCCTTCCTGGGCAGTTATGCTGCCCTGCAGCACCTCCCTCCTGTGTCCCGTGTCCCTCCCTGGCAGCCACCAGGGTGGCATTTCGGGAGCAGGGAGAGTGTCCCCAATCTGGGAACATGGAGGGAACTGTCCCTCGGTGCAGCTGCTGTCACTGCCCTCGGACATCACTGCTACAGCCACTGCTGCCCTGGCCAGCACTGCCCTGGTTGTCACTGCCCTGGCCATCACTGCCCCAGTTTTCACTGCTCTGGTTGTCACCGCCATTGGTTGTCACTGCCATTGGTTGTCACTGCCATTGGTTGTCACTGCCATCGGTCAGTTCTCACTGCCCTGGCTGTCAATGCCCTGGCTGTCACTGCCCCGGCTGTCACTGCTCTGGTTGTCACTGCCCCGGCCATCACTGCCCTGATTGTCACTGCCATCGGTTGTCACTGTCACAGCTGCCACTGTCGTGGCCATCGCTGCCCCGTCCCCCCCCGTGCCGGGCGCGTGACCTGGCCGGGAGCGCTGGCGCGATGCCACGGTGGTAATTAAGAAGGAACCTAATGAAACTTCGAAAATAGCACAATTTCCTCCCCACACCTGCAGCCGAGCGGGGTGGATTACATAAGTTATTGTTGCCACAGCAACTTCGCTCCACCCGGGGCTGGAGGTGGCCGGTGCCGCGTGTGCTGGTGCCGTCACCCCGGGGAGGGATCGTGGGGATGGGGCTGCTGCCTGCTCATCCCACTGCTGTTCCCAGTCTGGCGTGGTGCTTCCCCACACGGCACCCACAGCCCTGCCGTGGATGGTCCCGCCTTCACATGGGCACATGGAGAAGCACTGTGGGGATTCAGGTAACCCACGGGACTCCGGCACCATGGTTACCCTGGGCACGCTCCAGCTGCCGCCGAGCCCCGGGGAGTGAATCACCCTGACAAAAAGGCAGCGAGCAGCAACCAGGAGAAAAAAAAAATAAATAAAAGGCAATCAAAGCAAACGCTACGGCACGAGGCAGAGGCAGGTTTTTCCTGCTGAGAATTCCCAGGGTGCTGCGGGAGGCTGCGGGCGGCAGCGCTGCCGCGGGCCCGGGCACCGCGCCCGGCCGTGGGCAGCACGGGCAGCCCCGGCCTCGGCTGCCAGCCGGGAGAGGGGGACAGCGCAGGAGCCAGGGACAAGGATAATTTGTTCCATGTGGCTCTGAGTGTGGGGAAATGAACTCCCTGGCTGCTTCCAGGCATGGAGCCACTCCGGGAGCGGGGAGATAAGAGGGAGAAAGGTTTTCAGCACTCAGATTCCAGGGGATAAGGAGAAGCAGAGCAGGGGAAGAAATTGGAGCGGCTGTCTGTGAGCAGGCCTAGATGGAAGAGATTCTCTGAGGGCCGTCCCAAAAGGCCTCTTTTATTATCAGAAATTACAAATCCTTTTATCTTCCTCACCAGAGGAACAGCTTGTTTGAATTGCTGGGCTGTCACACTGGAATTAGATGCAAGAACCCCCCACATCCATGACGTAGCGAAGAACTTACATAACGTAACTAAAAATAAGGTGATGAAGATGCAGAGAGAGGCACTCTACTCCTTGCTGCTTGATCCTGAATCCTTCACCAGCGCTGGAAAGCCAGCGAGGTGCTGGTGTCTGGCTGAGGGAGCTGACTGTGTCTGGCCACGTGGGATGGAGAGGGAAAGTGGCACTGTGGCGTCCCAGCAGCCAGGCATTCCCCTGGGAACATCTCCCAGGGCAGTCCTGGTCCCACTGCCTCCCTTTCCTCAGCCCCGGTGGGAAAGGGTTAACTGGTCACTCCAGAAACATGAGAAAAATCCTTCTCCGAGGCTGTAAATTCTTCGCTGTGCTCTGGAGTGTGGAACCTCTGAGGCAGAAGCCAAAATGGGACACAAAGGCAGCCAGAGGGAGCAGCTGCTGTCGGTGCCCTCCTGGGCCTTGCCAGGGAAGGGGAACGGGAACAGCAGCGGGAGGTTTGGGACCAGCTATCGACCTGGGCTCCTCGTTCTCGGAATTGATAGATGTGAGGGGAAATAGCATGCTCAGCTTCTTAACTGTTTCACTGCTTCTCACAGCAGAGAGGAGGGAGAGGAAGGCTCGGCCCACGGCACGGCCTGGCCCTGAGGCTCAGTTTAACCACGGCTCACCTGAGAGAGCGGCCGTGCCCAGGGAGGACAGCGAGGCAGGGCACAGGCATGGGGACACTGGCTCCAGGGCATGGGCCTGCTCCTCGTGTCCCTCAGCACCTGGACAAAATCTGCTGTCACGGGCCCGAGGCATGGCAGGGACAGGGATGCATGGCTTGTGTATCCCACAGGGACCTGAGGGAGTTCTGGCAGGAGTCTCCCAAGGGAATCCTGGCTGGCCAGGGCAGCCTGGGGACAGCGAGGTGGCAGGCAGGGGCTGGTCTCCCTTGGGCTGAGCATCCTGAGCCATAGTTGTGGTGTTGGCTCATCCCACCTCTGCTCTCCCGGACAATGTGCATCCTCCTTCCCAACACCCCACAAACCACAGGCAGCTCTTCCTTCTCCAGCTGCTCCTCACTCATCCGCTCCCCAGGGCACAGCTGGGGATGGAGCACAGCCCCAGAGTGGGGGTCCAGCAGGGGCTGGAGGGTGGGACAGCTCAGGGATGTGGGGCACAGCAAGAGCCACGGGGTGGGGTAAAGCAGGGGGATGGCGTGGGGTCGTGGGCTATGGGGTGAGGTACAGCAGGAGTGTAGGGTAGGTTATGGGGTGTGGGATGGGAAATGGGGGGGAGAAGGGGCATGGAGTGTGAACAGGCCATGGAATAGGGTGTGGCATGGGGAATGGGAATGGAGATGGGGAATGGGGAATGGGCACGGGGAATGGGGATGGGGAATGGGGAATGATCAGGGAATGGGGATGGGGAATGGGATGGGGGATGGGGAATGGGATGGGGGATGGGGAATGGGGAATGGGCACGGGGAATAGGCACGGAGAACGGGCATGGGACCCCGCACAGGGAGCACACCGCAGTACATCCCGCCCTCCCCCGCGATGCTCGTACTCCTCTCGTTACTCCCAGCCCCGCACGGCCGTGGCACAGCCCGGCCCGGCCCGGCTCCTCCCCGCGGGGCTGGCCGGGGCGGTTCGGGGCGGTTCGGGGCGGGCACGGCCTCCGGGAGCTGATAAAAGGCACGGCGGCCGCGGCTCCGCGCTCTCCCGCTCCGTGCCCGGCTCCGCCCGCCGCTCGCCCCGCACCCCGCGCCGCCGCCCATGGTGCTGCCCGGCCCGCCCGGCATGGCCCGCTCCGAGGAGGTGCACCGCCTCACCGAGAATGTCTACAAGGTGAGTCCGCAACAGGTGCCCGGCGCCGCGCCTGGCCGTTTGGCTGTTATTTGAGTTATCTGAATTATTTGCGTTATCGCGTTTCCCCTCCCCGGGACGCGCGGGGGCAGAGCGGGCGCGGAGGCGCCGCCGGGGCCGGCCCTGGGATGCGCCCGGAGCCGCTCGGCCGGGCCGGCAGCGGCCGCCGGGGCACCCCTGAGCCTTGCCCGGGCACCCCCAGCCTTGCCGAGGGACCCGCGGGCACCGGGACCCGCGTGGGGCTGTCCCAGTCCGGGTGGGCAGCGCTGTCCCCGCATCACCCCGCAGCGGGGCGGCCCCGCGCCGCCCGCACTCGCTGCTCTGCCACAAGAGCCCTCAGAGCCTTCCCCATCCCCTGGAGTTCGGGAATTCTCCGTTTTTCCTTTCTGCTTTGCTCCCGGTGTCCTGGGAAAATGCAACAATTTATGTGGTTTGCCTTTCCCCCGAAGGAAGCGGTTTCTGCTCTGCTGGGTCTTGAGACCAAGACTAAGAAAACTGCTGTAGCCTAACGTGTAACGCAGGATGTCGTTTGTTAAACTGGGAAGCTTGCACGATTTCCTGTGATTTAAGGGCTTGGATTGAGTTACCTGGGAGCACAGAGCAGGGAAGAAAAAAAAAAAAAATAGAAGAATGTAGTACAAAAAGTACCGGGCAATGAAGTTGTGGAGTCTTGGTTTTGGAGATTCTGGGGTGTAACAGCTGTTCAGGCAGAGCTGTGGCATCCGAAATCGTGGTCGCTCTGAATCTTGGTGATTTTTTGCTGTGGTCCCCAGGGTTCCCTCCCACCCTGCCAGGCAGCCCGTGTGCCCGGACATGCCCCGGTGCAGGCTGTCCTTGGTTCGGGGCAGGGCTGGCACCCAGGCTGCTCCAGCCTTTGTGCACTGGCACTGCCCGGCCCGGCGCTGCCTGGGCAAACAGGGGCTGGGAGCAGCCCCAGCCGTGACTCAGTTGTTGTTTGAGGTGTGTAGTCCTCGAAGCACGGGGCTAATGACAGGTTTGGGGAGCAGGTCACCGTCACCCCGGGCCCGGCCCTTGGGCTGCGCGCAGGGCCGGCCGTGCTGTCCCCACACGTGCGGAGCCCATCCCCAGGGAAGCGGGGCTGACTGCTGGCCCGGCTGCTCCTGGCCCAGCGGAGCAGAGCCATCGCTGCCCGGGGTGTCAGCAGCCAGGGCTTGGGGGTGCCCGCAGGTCTCCATCAGCCAGAGAACACCTCAGCTCCCTGGGATGCCGGTGGGAGCAGCCAGGTGCAGGCGGTGAGGAGATGGAGCTGGTGAAGATCTCGTGGGTTCACCCAAAATCAGTGTCTGGGTGCTGGGAGCAGGAGGAGGGTGGTCCTGGCTCTGGTTGTGTCCCTGTGGTGAGCATAGGCTGCTCTGAAGCCATCAATGCTTTCTCAGCCTCTGGAGTTGTGTGCCATGTGGTGCCTGCGAGAACCTGGCGTGTCCCTGTTCCTTTGAGGACTTCAGCCACTCCTGAGCCCAGCTGGGAGCTCGGGCACTGAGCTTTTCTGGACCTCCTTAACCTTTGGAGTCTGACTCCAAAACCCGTCCCAGTGCTTCCATCCCCATTACCCAGGTATTTTTTTGGCCTGTACAGGAGCCATGGGCAGGAGGAGACAACCCCCAGGAGAGGGGCGATGCCACCGAGCCCCAGCCCATAGGGGCCCAGGCTGGGTGACCCCCAGGCTTGGTGCTCGACCCTCGCCGTGCCCCCTGCCCGTGTCCCGGCGGTGTGGCAGGAGCAGCCGCTGCCCGTGCCGGCTCCCGCAGGCTCTCCCGAGGCTCTCTGCTCGGGAAGCCCATTGTCATGGTTTTCCAGAAGCAGCGCTCACCCTCGGAGTGACTGTGCTAATGAGCTGGTGGAGGAGCTGTCAGCCGCCCCCGAGCCGATGCTGCCACTACAGGCAGCTGCCTACACACGGGGAGTAATTACAGAGGGAGACGGAGGCTGCTGGCACCTTCCGCCAACGTGATCCCACCTTTGGCGGTGCTGATTCACTGCCAGGACCCCGGAGTAGCGGCACAGCTGCCGGGCTGGCTCTGCCGTGAGCCCCGGGACGGGCTGCGGGCATGGGCAGCTCCCTCTGCTCCCTCCCCGCTCGCCCCCTGCTCGGGATTGTCTTTTTGCAGAAAGCAGGGACTGGCAAATCCTCCTTCCCCCGAAGACAGATCTGTCTCCTCCTGCCAGATGAGATTATTGCCGTTTACAGCCCAACCTCCATTTCATTTTAAAGCCATTTTTCTGTGCGGAAGATGGGTTTGCAATGGTGTGCGAGTGGCTCTGCCTTTGAAGAGGTGTTTGCCTAACAACTCGAAGCTGAATTGTTGTGCAGAAAGGTGGACAGAATTCCTGAGGGTCCTTAGCTCCCCATCAGCTGTAATCGATGTTACTGTGGCATCACACCTCTCCTCATGTCCAGAGGGATGGAAGCGATTCTTCCTCAAGGGGTTCAGGGGGGAAACTGTGGCTGGTTTGATGTGTTTGGAGTGGAGGGATGATGAGTGTGGCACAGGAGGAAGGAGCCAGCCTGTGGCAGCCCAAATTCCATGTCCTGCGCTCCCTGCCTTGAGGCTTCCTGCAGCCCAGCCGTGGGAGATCTGTGGGGAGCACCCCAGGGCTCGGTGGTGAGCTGGGCTCTGGCACTGCCAGGGCTCTGAGCTGGGAATGCTGCTCCATCCATCCATCCATCCCGGGCTGGGAGAGCCCTCCTGGCCTCCCTGGAGATGGGACACCTGCAGGCAGGTGGGCTCTGAGGTTCCTGCCTGGCCGGGGTGTCCCGGGTGCTGCCCTGCCCTCGGTGCCTGCTGTGCTGAGCCTGCCCGTGGTTAAGGTTTCAGTGCTGCTGCTCGTGTTGCAGGGCAGGGCACAGGGCAGACAGCTCCTCCGGCCACAGCCTGGGGCTCAGCCCTCGGTGCCACCTCCGTGGGGACCCTCCTGGCTCCTCGGGGGAGATCCCAGCCCCGAGGAGTTGAGGATGGCCCAGCCTTGCAGGGCTGGCCCCGGGTGGGTGCTGAGGGTGTTCCCAGAGTGCTGGGGGCTCTGTGCCCCCTATGGAGCCTCATCCCAGCTCTCCTCAAGCCCAGACCCCAACACAAAGATGTTCAGAGCTCTTGCCCTGAGACTTGGGACCCCTCGTGCTCTGGCATGACAGCCAGGAGAAACTAAATGCCTTTAGATGGGGATTGTTTTTTTCCCTGACTTTTTTCCCTGATTTTCCCTGGGCTCCTTCGTAACAGAAACTTGGCTCTTGAAACCCCCAGGGCCGCTCCTGATGGTGCCAGGCAGGACAAGCTGTGATGGAGGAGGCAGCACTGGGCCTTGCTGGGCATTAAATATTGATAGCAAAATGATGAAAGTGCTCCTGGAGCAGGGCTGACCCATTTAGACAAAAAACTTCTTTAGGGCTGAGCTGCTTCTGCAGTGTGGCAGTGGAGAGTCCCTTGGTGCTGTCCCCTGCTCTTCCTGGTCACCCAGGGAATCCATGGCTGGGCCCTGGCAGGGTCAGTCCTGCAGGGAGACAGAAAATCCTTAAAAAGGTTGGAAAAGCCCTCTGAGTCCATCAGATCCAACCATTCCCTCAGCTCTGCCGAGGGCATTGAGCCACGTCCCCAGGTGCCACATCCATGTGGGTTTGGAGCCCTTCCAGGGATGTGTTGGGAACGCTGCCCTTCAGCTGGTGAGCAGGAGAAGCCTGAGCCACTTCCAGCTTGAGCAGGACTTAAACTTGGGATTGAGGAGCTGGAATTCCGTGATCCTTGCGGGCTCCTTCCAGCTCGGGATGTTTTATTCTTCCCCATGATTCTAAACTTTTCCTTATGGGCTAATTTAAGGGCTTGGAGCATCCTGGCTGTAGCTGGAGTGTGCTCAGAGGGCAGAAAAGGGACCTTGTTCCTGTTGCCTCTTCCCCCAGCACACAGAGCAGGGCCGTGTCCTGGAGACCTTGTGCTTTGCATTAGTTTCATTTTTGGCAGCTGAATAAAGCCGTGCCAATCCCGGAGAGCTGAGTGGTATTACCCAGGGAATTCAGCTCAGTGGAACAAAGCAAAGCCCTTTCAACCCTTGGCTGCCAGGTTTTGTGGCTGTGTTTTTCTGAACTCTGCCCAGGCAGCCCATGGAAGGCAAACAACTTGTGGGTGCTGCTGAGGGGGCAAAATCTGGGGAGAATGAGATTTGCTTTCACTGCCACAGTGCTACTGAATATTTGCCTTGCAGTTGGTGTCCTGCAAGCCTGGATTCACCTGTCCTGTGGGGGACAGAGCCCCTGGTGCCCCCAGGGAGGGGATGAGCCCTGTGCTGCCAGGGGAGCAGCTCCAGCACATCCCTGGTGTGAGGGGTGATGCTGTTGAGCCATTCCATGGCACAAATCTGTTAATTTCCCACTGTTTCTCCTTGGCGGATCTCGGGCTCTCACCTGGAGGGGGGTGTGAAGGCTCTGGAGTCACCTTCCCTTCCCACCCCGGGAGTGAGAGAAGGGCTTGGAAAAGGCTATTTTTATCTCTGGAGTGAGGAGCCCTTTTCCCCGCTCTCATCCTGCCAGGCTGTTTTTGTTGGAGGCTCCAGACAATGTTTTAAAAACATTCACTTTCAGCAAACTTCCTCCTGGGGGTTGGAGAATTTTATTTGGCCAGCACAGAGTCACCTTCCCGCTCCTTCAGCCGCTCCACAATCCCCTTTGGGGGCTTTTATCTCTTTATTTGTTGCTTTAAAACATCTCTTGTGGATCGGTGGGGAGCAGGACCTGCCCTGAGCAGTGCCAGGGCAGGGTTGTGCTTTGATTCCCTCTGCTTTGGGCAAGATGTGCTGAGTTTTGGACGGTGCTTTGTCTGGGGATCCTGTTCCATCTTTAATTCCCCGGGTTTCATGCTCAGGACGATGTGTTTACACGGGCACTGCTGAGAAAATCACACTATTTACATATCCCTGTGCACGTCCTCGTACACAAACACTGCTCTGAACCTGCAAACCGCCCAAAAATCTCCTCCCTGCAGACATTCTGCCAACGTTTCTGCTGCTTAACTCTTGCTCAGCCTCAGAGTGCTCGGGCTGAACCTGAGTGTGGGGCTGTGTCCCTGTCCCTGCCCTGGGCAGTGATGCCAGCCTCTGCTGCTCTGTGGGATAGCCCAGGTGGGTTTGGGCTGGAGTTAAACCTGATGTGGGCAGGATGGAGCAATCCTGGCAGTGGTAATTAACTGCTGTGCAATTGTCTCCTACACGCTGGAGAACACCTGGCTTGTTGCTACAGGTCCATTTTCTCCTTTCACGCTGAGCACATACACCAAACTGCTCTGAGCTGCCCCAAAACAGCTTCCAGGGGCCCTGGTGTTGGCCTGCAGCCTTAATTAGCGGGGCAGCTCCTCATTAGCCTCGTCAATCTTCTGCCCTTTGCAGTTGTGGCTGCCGCTGTGAGGACCTGGGGGCTGCTGGGGACAGGCTTTGGGGACATAGCAGCCATCCTCAGCCTGGAAGGATGAGCAGATTCCTCCTGAAATAGCAGCCCTGGGGTGATGCCACCCCTCTGATGGGTTCCCCACACAGGGTCCTGCCCGGAGGAACCCTAAAAGGGCTGCCCGGAGCCAGGAGGGCTCTGGCTGAGCCCTGCACACGTGGGGAGAAAATTCAGCTGTCAGACTGGAGTGGCGGGCAGCAGGAACTGGGATAAAAATGCCTCAGGCAGAAAATGAGCTTTATAGTGTTCGGGCAGCCTCAGATGAGGTGACAGATGCTTAATCAGCTTATTCCCCGTAAGTGTCTGCCTGTCTTCCCTCCCTGCCCGGGCTGGGGCTCTGCCAGCAGCCTGGGGGTGCAGAGCCCCCATTCCCAGCAGGAATGCCCGTGGTGCATCCCCCACCAGGGGCATTCGGACCCGGAGATCCATTTCCTTGGTGGGAGGGTGTCCCCAAGGTGGGGCAGGGCACTGGGACCAGCTCTGGGGCTGGGCCCGGTGCAGAGGATGCGCGGGAGGGACTGGGGGCTCTGTGCCCCTGGCAGTGGGGGCTCTGTGCCCCTGGCAGTGGGGGCTGTGCCCGTGGGACTGGGGCCGGGAGGGACTGGGGGCTGTGCCCTGGCAGTGGGGGCTGTGCCCGTGGGACTGGGGCTGTGCCCCTGGCAGTGGGCTGGGGTGAGGGCTGTGTCTGCACAGAGCACACAAAGCCCTTTTTCTTCTCCTGATCCGATTATTCCTTCCCCCATCTGAGCTGAGGCCTTTGGGGCGAGGCAGGGGAGCTCAGGCAGCGCTCACCCCCACCCTGGGCAGGTGGGCAGTGCCCCCGAGGGACCCCGGTGGCATTCCTGGCACAGCTCAGGGGGCGTGGGGGGCTCTGTTCTGCCTCATCCTGCCTGCACATTTGGGATCCTGCTCTTCAGCCCTTCCTGCTCGTCCCTGATGGGCTGGGCTGCTGCTCTCCGTGGCCATCCTGGGAGTGGGACATCACCTGCCACCATCCCCAGGTCTTGGGTCACCTCCCTGCTTGCTCTGAGGGCTGGTGCTGCCCCGAACAGCCCCTACAGTTGCTATTATGGTTATTTTTGCTATATCTGATAATTCTCTGGTTGGGGCATTCACTTTCCTCTCCTGGGAAGCATCTGGTGCTGGGGCACTGCAGAGCCCCCTCGTTCTTGTCCCTCGTGTGCTCAGACCCAGCGTGGTCTTCCTCAACGGAGCTGCAGGATGAGGGAGGATCCTGGGGCCTCTTCAGGGAGCTGGGAGGGTTTTTTTGCTCTCTTTTTGTGCTTATCAGGACAGAGCTGAGCACGAAGCTGTTCACTCCGCTCCCCATCATCCCTGCTAATCCCAACCGTGTTCTCTTCCCTTTAGACCATCATGGAGCAGTTCAATCCCAGCCTCAGGAATTTCATTTCTATGGGGAAGACCTATGAAAAAGCCTTAGCAAGTAAGTGACACTGGGGCTGCCAGGCTGGGGAGGGGGAAAGCTGCAAAACCTTTGGGTTTTGGTTGAAAATCTTTGGGTTTTTGTTGAAAAGTTCCATGTTCCCACAGGGAAGGAACTGGGAGGGTGATGATCTCCAAGGCCATGGATGCAGGAGGGATTCCAGGGAGAAAATGCTGGGAGGCAGCAGGATAACAAAACACATCTGCAAACAGTTCAACTTTAAATGTTTGTTTAAAGTACTGAGAATTGAGGTTTTAAGCTCTGTTTAAAGAGGTGCTATTGAAATGTTTAAATTGCCCAGAAGAATGAAGAGAAGGGAAAAGCCTGAAAGTCTTGATGGCAGCTCTTGGTTGGGAATGCAGGGTCCTATTGGGAGCCATTAGGGAGGTGTAGATTTAAGTGATCAAAAGGAAGCTAGGAATTGATTAAAGCCCAAAATGGGCTATTTTGACTTAAACTGGCTTTGTGCACTGCCTGGGCCCTCCTCAGCTGGGTTTTAGGGAGGTTTAAGCTTTGCTCAACCCAGAGCTGTGTTTTTCCACGGAGGGCTCTGCTCCCTTCAGAGTTGCACGTGTCTCCTGGATTTTATTTTTGAATAATGTCTCCTGGATTTCATTTTTGAATAATCCCAGCGAAAATGCCCGTGGGGCAGAGTCTGTCATCACCTTCAGCCGGGGGGGGGGGGGGGGGGGGAAATCCCTTTGGTGTTTGGGACCCGACTTTTGGGGAGGATCCTGCTCCTGCTCCCTGCCTGCAGCACCTTTCCTTTCCCACAAGCCAAGTGAGGCTCCTGGCTGTTCCCAGGAGGATTTTTAAGCCCTCCCCCCGTTCCCAGGTGCTGGGCACTGGTTTGAGCTGGGATTTAATGGCTCACCCGGCTGTGGGCACTGGTTTGAGCTGGGATTTAATGGCTCACCCACCGTGACGGGGAGGTGCCCGTCCAGCCCCGCTGCTCGGGGCTGTGACCTCTGATCCCCAGGGAAGGGGCACAGGGCACCCTCCCCACAGGCAGCACCTTCCAGAAATTCCATGGGCACAGGGCACCCTCCCCACAGGCAGCAGCTTTCCCAAAATTCCAGGGGTTCCCAGCAGAGTGGGGTTCATGGTTTGGGGCTGCTTTTCCCTGCTGGTTCCCTCCTGGCAGCACAGGCAGGGTCTGACAGAGGGAAGAGCTGCTGACCCTTGGGACCGTGTCTTTTATTTATTCTTCTGAAATATTCTCCTGATATTTAACTACCTGGGAGGTGGAGCTGTTTGTCCCGTGCTGTCCTGTGCCACCAGCCACAGCACTTTGGGATAACCACTGGGATCACTGGCTTTGTGCTTTTCCCACATCCCTGCTGTGCAGCCAAGGATCTTCCTGTAATTTTTAACTTTGCTTGGGTTATCCTTCCCCTGGATCCCCGAGCTGGGGGCAGCTGGAGGAAGTGCAGAGCCCAGGAGGCAGAGCAGAGGCAGCGTTGGAAGGCTGGAGCTGGGGCTGTACAGCGTGTTCTGTGATTAGAGGAAACCCCCTGCTTATCTGATTAGAGTCAAGTGTGGAGCTGGAATGTCAACAAACAAGGCTGAACTATAATGAAAGTCTGTGATATTCAATTATTCTGCAGTGATTTCTCCCAGCAGCCTGATGCTTGCACTGCAATGAAAACCACCACAGTCCTGCATGGCCCTTTTTAAATCCTAAATTACCCTGTAATCTCACTGCTCCAGCTCTCTTTGCTTCTTTTCCTCTGTTTGTTGTGTGCTCCCTCCCCGTGGGGTTGAGCCCTTTGAGGTAATGCCTATTTTAGTGTCCAGAGTCTCCTCACTGCCCCAGAAGTTCTAACAGCCTTTAAGGAAAGCATAATCTCCATTTTTTTGGTGCTTTTTTAGGCATGACCTACGCAGCAAAGGGGTACTTCGATGCTCTGGTGAAGATGGGAGAGCTGGCCAGTGAAAGCCAAGGGTCGAAAGAATTGGGTAAGTCCCCAGTTTGCTGCTAAATGGAGATTTCTGGAGATTCCCAGCCCAGGAGTGAAACAGATCTTTGGTGCTGCTGGGGAGCACAAGCTCAGAGTGGACGTAGTCCTGTCTCAGTGGTAGCAGTGTCTCTGGATTAACTGCTGATGCAGTTTGGAAAACCCCCTGATAGTCTCAGTGTCAGGGCTCTGGCTCGTGCTGGTTTTGGAGACCAGCTTTGTGGTGGCTTTTTCTCACTTGGAGAAGGGGAAGCAGCAGATTTTGACTGGGGAGCTGGGGCTGAGCTGCCCCTCAGGGGCCTCTGGAGGGGCAGGGGCAGCTGGGCTGTGCTGCTGGAGGTCACCCTGTGCTGGTGGGGCTGGGGTTGTGCCCTGCTGCAGCAGCTCTGCCCTGCTGGAGCCTCCCTGTGCCCAGTGCCAGGGACTGGTGTTTGCCCAATCGATGGCAAACATCACGAGCTGTGACTCTGCTGCCTCCTTCCCCTTTCTCACACTTAGTTCCCAGGAAATCCTTTCAAGGGCAGCTGCTTTTTCCATCCTCCCTATTGCCCAGGCATCCTTCTGTGTCCTCCCTCCTCACAGCTGTGGTTTGAGGGGACCCTCCAAGGTCTCCCTATAGTTTGAGGGGACCCTCCCCATTCCCCCCATGGTTTGAGGTGACTGTCCCAGCTCCCCCAACAGTGTGAGGTGGCTCTCCCAGCTCCCCCCATGCTCTGAGATGACTCTCCCACATTCCCCCGTGGTTTGAGGTGACTGTCCCTGGTGCCCCCATGGTCTGAGGTGACTCTCCCACCTCCCCCCATGGTCTGAGGTGACCCTCCAAGGTCCCCCCCATGGTCTGAGGTGGCTCTCCCAGCTCCCCCTGGGCTGCTGCACCTTGTTAAGGCTCTCATGGAGTGAGATGTGCCTTGCTGTGGTGTCTGTGCAGTCCCAGGTGAAGCCCTCCTCCCCCTCCATCTCTCCCGCAGCTCTGGCTCAGCCATGGCAAAGTGCTCATTAAAGCATCTCTCCGGGGCAGGCAATTAACAGAGAGGTTGTGCTGAAACGACTCTGAAGGCTGAAGGAGCCGGGGAGCAGCCCCTGGGCTCTGGATTTGGAGTCAGACCCCGCTCCCCCAGCCCTGCTGCTGCCTGGGAATTGTGCTGGGAGAGCAGTAAGTGTCTATGGAAACCGAGTCGTGGATTAGAGCTGCCTGGAGCAATCTGCTGCTGTTTAATAAATAAAACAAAGAGCCCTGTGTGCTGCGAGGGCTGCAGAGCCTGGAGGAGCTGCTGCTGCTCTCTGGGGCTGAGCACAGCCAGCTCTGCCCTCCTGCAGGGAGCTCTGGGGCAGCCTGGGCAGAGGGCAGGAGCCCGGGGAGCCTCACCCTGCTCTGCAGAGCAGCTCCAGCTTTGCTCACACTGCACACCTGGATTTGGGCACCTCTGGCCCTGGTTCCTCACCGAAGGACAGGGGTTTGATGTCCTTGGTGGCTTCTCCCCACGTGTGGCTGGAGTATTTTGGGGTGTAAAGTGTTCCCAAATCACTGCTCCCTCCCCTCCTGTGGACACATCCCAGGGAGGCTCCTGTGCTCCCCAGCCTCTGCTCTGCTGATCCTGCTGAGATTTGCTGTGGTGGCTGCTCCACAGGGCAGGAGAAAGCGGAGATAAAATTTCTGGCTGCAGGTCAGTGGAGCTGATAACAGCTGGGACACAGCCCCCTGCCAGCAGATGTGCAAACAGGGGCTGAGAGCTGGGCTGGCCAGAGCTGGGCTGGCCAGAGCTGGGCTGGCCAGAGCTGCAGCTTTTCCTGGGAACACCTTTGCCTTGTCACTCCCTGGGCTGGCAGTGCTGATAGTGAGATAACCTATTTCTGGGTTATTTCACAGCATCCCAGACTGCTTTGGGCTGGAAGGGATCTCAAAGCCCATCCAGTGCCACCCCTGCCATGGCAGGGACACCTCCCACTGTCCCATGCTGCTCCAAGCCCTGTCCAGCCTGGCCTGGGACACTTCCAGGGATGGAGAATTCATTTTAGAACAGTAAATAGGAATTCTCTTAATTGCTGCTTCCATTGATGGTGTGTACCCAGCTCCCTCCCTGAGTGGGATTTTCTCCCATGAGTTTATAGGGAAAACTGCTCCAAGGTGTCAGCCCGGGCTGTGGAGTGCTCTGCTCAGGATTTCAGCTCATCTTCCCAGCCTCCACGAAGAAAAACCGTGGAGAATTGTTTTTTCTCCAAAGCCCTCTCTTTGCTGAGCTGGGTGCTTTTTCCTGGTGTCCCTTCTGGCACAGGAGTGTCCCAAGCCCAGCCCTGGGAGGCAGGGGAGCTGCAGCTCTGTCTCCTGGAACAGGGAGCCCTCTGGAGCACAGCTCTGGGCTCAGCTGCTCAGCACGGGGCATTTTTCCTGAATTCCCAATGAGATTTTGGGAGCTGTGTGCAGACAGGATAATCCTGTGTGGGAAAGGAAGGGTGGCAGTAAGAGCAGCAGTAATGCCCCGAGCTGTAATCGGCTCTGGGGGCTCGGTTCCCAGGGGCTGCTGGCTGTCTGAACCCCCTGCTGGGCCTTGGGGGGGCAGAGCCGAGGTTGTGGGGTGCTCCCAACCCCGGAGGAGCTGTCATTGTCCCAGAGCAGCAGGAGTCAGTTTGCCCTGTGCAGTTCCCTGCTGGGATGGGCTCTGTGCCCGCAGGTGCCCTTGAGAGGCTCCCCGGGCTGTTCTGCACTCCCTTGGTGCTTGTGGTGGTCTTAGGGAAAATAACCTGCACTGAGGAGCCTGTGTGTGACTAGGGAAAGTTTGCAGCCCCTTCCAAAAGCTCCAGCCTCATGCATGAGTCCTCAGGTGACTTTGGCCCTTGTCCATCTCCTGCCTAGGTCCCTTGGATGCTGCTCAAAATGTCATTTATTTTGTCCTTGAAAACTAGGCCACGGCAAAGTCATGGAAAGGGGTTTTCTTCTGCTGAGCAGAGCTGGAGACATTTCCCCCGGGATGCTGGGGCCGAGCAGCACCCGCAGGAAGAACCTCCAGGGCTGGAGGTGCATTTTGCTCAGCACTGGTTTCTGGAAGGTCCCTTGGAAGAGCGAAGCTGCCCTGGGTGTGACACACGGGGCTGTGAAAGGGCAGCGCAGGCAGCAATTACTCAGCCATTGTTGAGCTGAAAGGAGCCCCTGGCACATAATGGCTTTTTATTTCCACAGTAAAATCAGGACGTGGCACCTTAACGGCTTGGATGAGATTTCACAGCTCATCCAGCTCCACCCCTGCCCATGGGCAGGGACACCTTCCACGATCCCAGCCCTCTCCAAGCCCTGTCCAGCCTGGCCTGGGACATTTCCATGGATCCAGGGGCATCCCTGGCTTCAGGCTCTCTCTCCCCTACAGCTCCAGGGTCTGTCCTGGAGGCTTTGTGCTGCACCAAATCCCCTGGGAGCAGAGATTAACCTGTTAATTGGATTGGGGCTGTTTGGGGCAGGTGGTTCCTGCCCTGCAGAGGTGGGATGTGGATCCCAAGGTGGCCGTGCAGCCCCAGGGGGCTGGGGGTGGCTGGGTGTGGGTTGGTGCCCACTGGAAGCAGTCAGAGCAGTGCCCAGGGGACACAGAGCTCCAGGAAATGCTTTCCTGTCATTTGTGGCAGTGTCCCTGCTGTGGAGGTGAGCTCCTGGCTGGGATCCTTTTTGGGGATCCATTAAATTTGGGCTCAACGCACCTGGCACCTTGTGGGTGACAGCTTTGTGTGGTGGAGGAAGGGAAGGGGCAGGAATGGGCTGGTGAGGGTGCAGAGATGCAGGACAGCCCACTGAAAGCCTTCTGCTGCCTCGGGAAGGGCTTTTCCAGAGCCTCCATCCCTGCCATGAGACAGCCAAGGCTCCTTCTCACCAACCTGTGTTTGGGAGGTGCTGGAGGAGGGTTGTGAATGAGCATCTGTGAGGAGCATGTGGCCTGGCAGGGGCTGCCAGCGTGTGTAAGGTCTGGGTTTCACCTTCCCTGGTGATGTGACAGCTTCCAGGCTTCCCAGCTGCCCTGGCTCTGTGCTGGGGAGGGTCCTGCAGGGATGCTCCCTGCTTTTGGGGGGGCTGGAGGGGTCCTGTGTGTGTCCACGGGCTGGGGTCTGCCGTCCCTCAGCGTGGGGGGAGCTTGGCAGGTCTGAGGAGGGGTTTTGTGGCCAGCTGCAGGTCCTGGAGGTGTTTGCTCCCCCTCTGGAGCTGCCAGCGTGTCGGATCACAGGGGCCAGGCTGGGCAGTGTGAGGGGGTTCCCTGAACCAGTGCCACCAGTACAGCTGCTGCCACAGCACTGGGCTCTGCATCCTGCTACAGATCCAGGAGTGGCCCCATCCAGGGGGGCTGTGGGGGGCACAGAGCATCCCAGGGTATGCTCTGTGTACAGAGATGTATCCCTGGCTACATCCCAGTGGTGTGCCCCTGCTGCAAGGCTCCGTGGCTGCTGCCCAGCCTGAGGGGGCCAGTTACCAGGAACGGGGATCCCAAACCAGGGTGCCCTGGGAAGCTTCTGCTGTTCCCTTTACCTGCTCTCTCAATAAACAAACGAAAAATGCCTCGGGCAGCTCCAGGCGGGGCTGGAGCAGCTCAGGAGTTATCAGCACATCCCAGTCCTCTGGGGCTGGCAGAAGTGAAACCGTTGTGGAGAGGAAAGGCATGAGTCAGCGAGGAGAAGCTGATTGTTTCCCCGAGCTGATTGTTTCCCCACACCGTGTCCTTCCCCCTGCACAGGGATCCTGCAGCTCAGAGCCTGGGCCGGGCTGGAAGGGCTCCCTGGCCCTGGGCAGCTGCTCTGTGCTGGTCTGTGAGCCTGGGGCACGCTGTGCTGCTCTGAGGGAACACAAAATACACTGCAGAAGCTTTCAGAGGGATTGCTCTGGTTGGAAAAGCCCTCAGGATCACTGAGGCCACCCTTAAACCGTGCCCCCAGGTGCCACCTCTGCCTGCACCGGGTTTTGCCTTAAATTTAGCTGCATCAGCACCGAGGTGTTGTGTGAGCAGCGTTACTGCTGGCTGGTTTTTGGGG